GCCTTTTTAAAAACGTCTTGCTCCTTTGAAATCTCTTCTGCCGATTTTGCTGGAAGGAACTGGCCACAGCCCACGGCTGGCCTTCGACGCTGGCAGTGCCGCAGGTACGGAGAGGTCATTCCGCTCACAAAAGGGCGGACGCCCGAGCCCGTGAGCCGGGCATGTGGAAGGGGCAGCGTGCGATGGGACCCAGCAGGAACCGTGAATCCATCGTGGTCGCCTCTCGGTGCCCAGGGCGCTTCTGGCAGTGGAATTCCCTTCTCACTGAGAGCTGAGTCAGTGCCAGGCCACTGTGTTCCCAGGCCACACCCGTGCTGCCCACCGGAGCACGCCCGCCGGGGGTCCACAGCTCAGGAAGCAGCCGTGGACCAGCTGCTTGGTCTCCGTGTGCAGTTCACATGCCGCACGACGACAGTCCAGCCAACAGGCAGCCGCGTGCATGATGCTGGTGCCTGGGACGGCCGTCAGAGCCGTCTGCATTTGTGTCAGTCACTCCATGATGGCACAATGCACAGAACACGCCCTGTCCTTCAGACAACACTGTTTTCTGTTTATTTGAAAGGCAGGGAGAGACACGGGAAGAGAAGAGAGATCTCCTGTCTGGCGGTTCATCCCCCAAATGCCCGGCCAGGCTGAAGCCAGGAGACTGGAACGCCCCTCCGGGTCCCGTACGCGGGTGGCAGGGACCCGAGTACCTGAGTCGTCATCTGCTGTGTCCCAGGACAGATGCTCATCGGCAGGAAGCTGGGACGGGGAGGCGCCGTGATCAGCCCCGGGCACTCTGGTGCTGGCTGCAGACAGCGCAGGCACTGGCGTCACCGCCGCACCCATCGCCGTGCCCAGGGCCACGGTTCCGGTCTCCTTTTACCCAGCGCCTTGCTCCTTCCTTGCTGTGTCAGAGGTGGTGCCCCTGATGACTGTCAAGCACTTCGAGTTCTGTCTGCGCCGCTGTCCGTTAGCTGCCCCCTGCCCACAACACGGGGTGTCGGCTCTGGGACTCTCCCCAGAGCTCCGCACATCGAGCCTTCTCCCCTCCCTGCCGTCTCTCTCGGGCAGAGTCCCCTGGCCGTGCACAGCCTGCGAGTGGACGCCAGGCCTCCGTGGCGGTCAGGAGACCTTGCTCATCTGACCCACATGTCTTCGTTCACTAACGAAGGTCGGCTAAGTTAGCACGGCCTGCACCCCACGCGCTCCTCCCAGTGCTGGGGCAGACGCCTGACCCGCCCCTCCCTTACCGTTGACTAACTCCGTGACCCCCGGAATCAGCTCAACTCTCGAGTCCAGAGCCCCACGGGGCACTCACGGCTGCTGCGTCCACGGGTGGTTCTTTTCCCTGGGGAGATTCCAGCACAGCACTCGGAAGTGGGGCATTTCAGGAGCAGGCAGACCTGGGGGCCAGGCAGCTGCACCACCAACATTTTATTTATTTGAAAGACAGAGTTACAGAGAGAGGTAGAGACAGAGAGAGAGAGGTCTTCCATCCGCTGGTTCACTCCCCAATTGGCCGCAACTGCCAGAGCTGCGCCGATCCAAAGCCAGAAGCCAGGAGCTTCTTCTGGGCCTCCCAAGGACTTGGACCATCTTCCACTGCTTTCCCAGGCCACAGCAGAGAGCTGGAATGGAAGAGGAGCAGCCGGGACTAGAACCGGCGCCCATATGGAATGCCGGCGCTTCAGGCCAGGGCTTTAACCCGCTGCACCACAGCACCGGCCCTACCACCAACATCTTAATTAAGCTTCCCCAGCCTAGCACGCCGGCAGTTCACTTCCAAGCACAGTCAACTCTGGTCACTCATTTGGGCGTCACGTGAGCAGTCGTCCGGGGAACCCAAGACATCCACCTGCCTCCCCAGGAAGAGTGTGCCGTGGGGTGCTTGGTGCCCACTCCAGCAGAGAGCCACGCAGCTCACGGCCTCACCTCTGGGCTTCCTGGCAACCCCATGCACCTGGCCCACCTTGAAGAAGTGAAACTGAGAGCCGTTGTACAGAGGGAGAGGCCGGAACAAAGGAAGAGGGGGGAGGGGAGGAAAAGGGCTTTTCCCAGCCCCCGCTGCACTGCGCCTGATCCTAGAACTCAGGAGTGCAGGGGTGTCAGGGGGTCGCACCAAAGTAATCGCCTTTGGATCCTTCCCCACACTGTTCAGCCCAGCTGTCAGCCCAGCTCTAAACGCAGCTGTCAGCCCAGCTGTCAACCCAGCTGTCAGCCCAGCTGTCAACTGTCAGCCCAGCTATAAACTCAGCTGTCAGCCCAGCTGTCAGCCCAGCTGCCAACCCAGCTGTCAACCCAGCTGTCAACGCAGCTGTCAGCCCAGCTGCAAACCCAGCTGTCAGCCCAGCTGTCAACCCAGCTGTAAAGGGGCTGCCAAGGTGCCCTGCTGAGACGGGCTGCCCTGCGCATCCCAGAACTCCAGGGAGATCCAGGTGGCGCCGCTGCCCCACGAGGCCACTGCACACAGCCCGTGGACACGTCCAAGGCCCCCGGCTGCCCACGAGGGTCTTCAGAAAGTCCGTGGGAGATGCACATTGTGATAAAGCTGTGCGTGGATCTTACACTTTTTGCACAAAGATAAACATCTGTTTTCCCACCGACTTCTGAAAGTCCTCTTAAATGGTACATAGGATTTATTCTCTTTTGCATATTAAAATATACATTTAAATGTTTATCTTACAATGTGCGTTTCTCCATGTGGTTCTTCCACTTGCTTGTTTTTTCTTCCTTCTCTTGGTTGGAAAACTATTGTGACTGCTTCCACACCAGTTCACACAGCCCTGTCTCGTTCCACCTCTCACGGTCCTCCTGTCATCGTGAGCAGGGCATTGCCAAACGTCCTGGTGTGGTGACACCATGACGGATAACATCCTTGCTCCCCTTAGCCCGTGTGTCCCTTCCTCCTGCATGCAGGACCCCTGGAAAAATCCAAACTGAGCAGTAAATATACCACTGACGGCAACTCTGAAATAAATGTGTTGTAGAAATTCTTGCAGAGTTAACACTTGACACTTGATGAGTTAAGGGTGGGTCTGCTTTTGCTATAACAAATATTGCTAAGGCAAACGCATTCTGTGTTCACGTACGCTTGCAGCCATTCTGCAGGATCAATTCCCAGCTGCGGGGTTGCTCTTCACAGGTCGTGTGAATTGTAACGTGACACAGGCTGGGCCTGACCCGCCTCGCAAAAGCCCACGGTGCCTACGCGTGCTCCTCCCACGGGGATGGGTTGCCCAGCCCTTCCTCACCAAGCCTGGATGACCGATCACTTTCATCTGTGCTCATTCATTCGGCAAAGTTCATCTTGTTCAGATGCGTGTGTGCTGCTCCCAGGGGCGGCTCCCAGGGGCCGGGCCCCTCTGCTGCCCCCCTGCGCCCTGGGTACTCCCCGGCGGGGACCTGCCATGCCCGTGTCCCTCCCCGCCTGTTAGGTGCATGTGCCGCTCACATCCCTCCCACCTGTGCTCCCTGTCTGTTACGTGGGTGCCCACATCTCCACATCTGTTACATACATGTAACATGTATGTTACATACATGTAACCACAACCCCTCCCTGGCTGTTAGCTGTCATGCACACGGCTCCTCCCCATCTGTCACGCATGGCGCACACGGCTCCTGCCCATCTGTCACGCATGGCACACAGGGCTCCTCCTCATCTGCTACGTGTGACACACATGTCTCCTGCCTGTCGCACATGGCACACACGTGTGGCATGCATGTTTGCTCCCTGCCAGTCGTGACCCTTCTGCTCCACTTAAGGATGCATTTGAAATGGCTCTAACAGGTGTATTGGTGGCTCAGTGGTAGAATTCTCGCCTCCAACATGGGAGACCCTGGTTCAATTCCTGTCCAATGCAGTCTGAAATGGGCTCCAGCCCGCAGCCGGAACTCTGAGCACACCTTGCAGAGCTTGGAAAAATCGCCTAGGAGGAAGCCACTCCTTCCTCACCCCGGTCTTGCAGGGAGCAGTCTGGGGGAAGGCACCAGTGCACCCCTGCATGGGGCCTGTGGGACCAAGGACACCGCTAGGGCCGTGGTTACCCCCGTCCGTGGACCATCCACCTGTGGTCTTTGGTAGGCCGAGCGGGGCTGCATGAGCGTGGCTAAGGATGCTCAGTAAATTCAGCAGGCAGCAGCCAAAACATGCGATCGTTGTCCTACAGCGTTTGTCCTACAGCGTTTGTCCTACAGCGTTTGTCCTGGGTATTTGTGCCGTTTAAAAATCAAATCACTGGCACTACCCAGAGCAAAGCAGCTTCACCCGGGGCAGTGTTGCTGCACGGCTGTCCTCTCCAGACTCGCTCAGCCACACACACGACACACACACTGCAAGCATCCCCAACCCCCGTGGCACATCCATGCATACACACCACGCCCGACCCACGTGGCTCATCTGTGCATACACACCACGCCTGACCCCCATGGCACATCCATGCATACACACCACGCCTGACCCCCGTGGCTCATCTGTGACACCACGCCTGACCCCCATGGCACATCCATGCATACACACCACGCCCGACCCCCGTGGCTCATCTGTGCATACACACCACACCTGCCCCCGTGGCACATCCGTGCATACAACCCACACCTGACCCCCGTGGCACATCCGTGCATACACACCACGCCCAACCCCCGTGGCTCATCTGTGACACCACGCCCGACCCCCGTGGCACATCCATGCATACACACCACGCCCGACCCTTGTGGCACATCTGTGCATACACACCACACCTGCCCCCATGGCACATCCGTGCATACACGCCACGCCCGACCCCTGTGGCACATCTGTTCATACACACCACACCCGACCCCTGTGGCTCATCTGTGACACCACACCTGCCCCCGTGGCACATCTGTGCATACACCCCACGCCTGACCCCTGTGGCTCATCTGTGACACCACGCCTGCCCCCGTGGCACATCTGCATACAAACCGTGCCCGACACCCTCACACACACCTGTGTTCCCTCCGCACCTGCCAAGTCTCAACTCTGCCGTTGTCACCTGCAGACTCTCCCGGGGTGCCCCCGAGTGCCAACGCTCATCACCTGTTCAGAGGATTCAGCTTCGTGGCCTCAAGCCTGGCCCAGGAGTCCTCGCAGCAGGAGCCACACCAAGTCCCGGTGCACCCGATCGTGCAGGTAACTCCCTCTGTCCCCGGGGCTCGGTGCCTGAAGCCTGGCCCTGGCGTCTGCCACAGACTAAGGTCCCCAGGTGCTGGATGGTGTCAGTCCCTCACCTTCCTCACCACAGCCCAGGGATAGCATCACCATGGAGACCCCATAGTGGTCTGACCTCGGTCAGCCCAGAGAAGGAAGGAAAAGCCCCAAGGAGCAGGCCACTGCGGGGTCCGAGCCAAGGCCCTCGGGGGGTCAGACCTGGGCACCTTCGCTGTGCAGCACAGGCAGCGCCCAGACAACGGCTCAGATTGAGCGCCATCTTCCTAGGGTGATGAGCAGTCTCGGGAAGGCAGCGGGAGACGCTGCTTCTGCCGGGAGATTCCCGCCTGTGAGCAGGAATCCTATACAGAGAGCCCCGAGGAGCTGGGATTAGCCTCGTGTAAGAACGCAGGCGGCGTGGATCGGGGAGCCGGGAATGTCCATCCCCCCGATCGTGGCCTCTGGGAAGCTGGCCCGTGTGTGAGGTGGCCGGGCTGGAGGCTGCGTGTGCTGTGAGCACGTCCTGGGGTCAGGCCCCCAGCAAGGAGCCTCCACACAGGCCGGCCCAGGACAGGGCCACACGCCCGTGTCTGCAAGCGCTTCTGTCCACGCCCCCATTCTCACAGGTCCCTGGGAGACACGTGGCCGGCAGTGGACGCAGAATAATCTGGTGTCCAAAACTCGGGGGCCAAAGCCCAAGGAGTCAGGGAGTCGGGGTCTTCACCTAAGACCTCGGTGCTGAGGGCAGAGGGACGCGTCAGCCCCGGGGCCCCCAGCCCCCGGCGTCTGTGTGCGCGTGTCCACGCGGGCTTCCCGTGAGCCCTGACAGCTGTGCCTTCCCCTGTTTCTCGCCGTCCCCACAGCAGCTACACGGGAACAACGTCCACTTCACCGACGGCTACGAGATCAAGGAGGACATCGGGGTGGGCTCCTACTCGGTGTGCAAGCGCTGCGTGCACAAAGCGACGGACGCCGAGTACGCGGTGAAGGTGAGGCGGCGCCCGCGGGCAGCACACGATCACCCAGTGCGAACCCTGGAGCCCGGCTGTGACCACCAGCTTGCCGGCTCGCGGCCAGGGGGCTCAGGGTGCCTTGATGTGAGGTCGCCCAGTAACCGTTGTCTTGCAAACCATGAAAATTCTCAGTGACATCCAACATCTGGGCACTGACGCGGTCTCGTAGCTTTTTATGCCAGGGCACTTGAAAAACTTCCCAGAGAGGGGGAACGACAAGAAATTGACTTGGGTGGCAAAAAATGTTTGAAATTCATGCATAGTTTTTCTTTCTTCCATATTACTCGTTTGCCACGAGCTTTTCAAAGGCCCTTGTGTCTGGCACATGCCGGGAATAAAAGCCTTGGGCACCCGGTGTTTTTACGAAGTTGAGGTGAGGGACAGACGCAGCATTGGCAAAGGAGGAGAGGAGGGTTCAGCCAGCGAAAACAGTCAAAGAAATAAGCAGAAGTGTGATGGTGCCGCCGGCGTCCTAGCACCTGTCAAGAGCTGTGTCTGGTGACCGTGACCTGCAATGCAGTTAGCAGCCTCTACGCAGGAACTCAGCTGCTGTTGGTGTAAACGATTTAGTTATTTATTTGAAAGGCAAAGTTTCAGAGAGAGAAAGAGAGAGAAAAAAGGTCTTACACCTGCTGGTTCACTCCCCAGAGGGCCGCAATGGCCAGGCGGGACCAGGCCTAAACCAGGAGCCAGGAGCTTCTTCTGGGTCTCCCATGGGAGTGCAGGGCCCCAGCACTGGGCCGTCTGCGGCTGCTTTCCCAGGCACAAAGCAGGGAGCTGGAGCGGAAGTGGAGCAGCTGGGACTTGAACCGTGGAACGCCAGCGTCAGAGGCAGCGCCGTCACCCTGGCTGACGGCCCCTCGGCTTCTGTTATCATCGCTGGATGAATGTTTGCTCTGGGAACCCCCAATGGCAGCTCCTAGAGCCTCCTGGTTGGTGGAAGCTACAGCTTCCTGCTGAAACCTGAGCAGGGGACAGGGAACGAGCGTGCGGCCCCTTCTCTGCAAACAGCCAGAGGGGCCTCCCGGGAACCATCCCGATGCTGTGAGGGGGGGGTGGCGCTGGGCCCCCCAGGCTTGTTCCCGGCTCAGCCGCAGGACATGGAATGCACCTGCTCCGTGACCAGCGCCGGGGGAGCCAGCGACTGTGACTCGGGAAACGGCACCCCCCCGGTCCACCCTTGCTCGCCCACGGCTGCCCTGCCGCTGCGTGGACACAGAGGTTGTCCAGGGAAAACACCCGCCCACCAGAGCCGCCTGTCCCACGCCCCTGCCCTGGGAAATGCTGGGCCCGGCACAGACACCAGAGCGGCCGAGACACACGCGTCAGGGAACGCCTGTCTGATGGACTCTGACTTGTTGAAGCTCAGGGGGTGTCTGAATGGGGGGGGGGGCCTTGTCTCGTGAGTCCTTGGGGGTGGGGAGGGGGTGGCACCTGTCTAGCCTGCGCAGGAGACGGAGGGAGGAAGCGGGAGGTGCTTTGGCCCCTGCGGAGAGAGGGCAGACGCTGGGGAGGCCTTGTGTCCTGGTTGGACCGAAGAACACCAGGGCGTGTCAGGGAACGGGACCCAGCACAGGGCACGGGGCCTGGCCGTGTCCTGGTTTGGTTTTGGGGGGTTCGTCTCCCCTGCTCCCCTCATGGGCGTGGCTGCAGGAGAGCGGGCAGGCGCCCACCACCTGTCCAGATGGTGCGGGGAGGAGGGGGTGAGTGAGGGCGGCGGCTGTGATGAGAGTCTCCCTGGCAGTGAAGTGTCTCTCCGGTGCTGCGTGCACACGCGCGGGCGCCCTGGAATTCTCTCCGCGTGGGTCGAGGTTCTGGGGCTTGTTTACCAGGCCGGCAGCAATCCTAGAAACAAGCGCTCTTGCCAGCCAGAGCGGAGAATCGAGCCCATTGTTGGCCGCCTCTGGGCTCCGCCTGCGGTCGTGGGCCGATCGGCCGCCCTGGTGCCCCTGCGCACAAAGGTCCCTTTGAGGAAGCAGTGCGGGCCGTCCCCAGCGTCCCCAGACCCGGCTCGTACAGATAGGCACCATCTGTGTCCACCCTGTTAAACGGCCTGGGACCGGACGCCCAAGGCCTTGCTGGGGCGGAGCCCTGGGGAAGTTGGGGAGCGAGGCCAGGCGCTGGGGCCCCCTGCTGGCGGTAGGAGGAAAGAGCCAGGTCTTCCTGGGTGTGTTTCCCAGGCCTCGGGGTCCCCGGGCAGAGCCAGCTGGTGGGCGTGAGGGGGTCTCCTCCGTGTCTGAGACCACCGTGAGTGTGAGAGACGCCTACAGGAAGGGCGGACCGTGGGAGGAGGCAGCTCGAGCCCCACACGCCCCCATGACCCACGCTGCTTCAGAAGCACCTTGGGGTCCACAAGGCCCTTTACCCCCGGGGGGTGGGCCGCTGTCCGGATCCCCTCACCCATCAGAGCTGGGGTTCTGTGGCAGAGGAGGTGCGGGTGTAGGGCCCACCCATCTGCCTGAGTGACGTCCCCGCTCGGAGCCGTGTGCACGCAGGTCGCCAGGCCCCTGCTGATCAGAGGAGGAGCGCCACGGTGTGTTCTGGGCCAGCGCTCGGCCGGGCAGGCGTCCCCCTGAGGACCCACCGCTGAGTGCTTGGTGGCCGCTCGGGCGGTTGAGACGCCCAGCTCTCCGAGTATGCCTAGCTCTCGGACGGAAGAGGCTTCGGTTTCGTTTGAGCAGCAATCGGTCGGATCAGCCGAGGCTTCCTCCTTCCGAGAGCCGATAGCAAGTGGGAGAACAAGACGCACCCGAGACTGAACGAGGAGGCCCCGGCCAGAGTGCAGCAGGCTCAGCTCCGGCCAGAGTGCGACTCAGGGCCGACATCTGCTCCCGGCTGCTTCCCTCCAGCCCCTGTGCTCACGGTGCCCACGAGGTGGCCACGCCCCACACCGACATCACAGCCATCACACGGGTGAAGCCCCTGTTGCGTGGAAGGCAGCGTGCACAGAGGCTGTCGCGTTAGGATGTGGGTGTCCTGACCCAGGGGTCTGCCTCCCGTGCCCACCACAGCCAGTGGCCAGGCCGCCCTGGCCGCCACTCACGTTTGCCACCCCAGCCTCCCTGCCGGGGCCTCTCGGTTGTCGCCGTCACTGCTGGCACCCACGGGCTGGGCCACAGCCACCACCGCCTGGGCTGCCTCCCGGAGCTGCTGCACAGCCCCCACTCCGCGTCCATCTTCGCCTGCCGCTGTTCGCTTTCTAAACGACGGCCCAAAGCAGACCCCTGCAGCACAGCTCAGAGCTGGCCCTCCCTTGGTTCAGGGCCTCCTCCTGACGCGGAATCCAGAGTCCGAAAGACCCTGTGGCCCTGGCCCCCACCCACTCCTCCCTGCTGGATTCAGGCCGCACTGCCGTGGCTTGCCCAGCACCGCTGGCCAGCGGCCTCCTTATCGGCAAGGCCTCCCTGCCCGCCCGTCTCCCGCCACTCACTGCTCCTTGGCCTCATGATCTCTCCGTAGCACTGTCCTCTCCCCCGCCCCAGCCCAGTCCCAGGTCTGTTCCCTGCCTGTATCCATGGCCCCAGGAGCCAGGGCCTTGCTTGGTTTCGCTGCGGTTCTCCGTCCTGGCACACGGAGGGCATCAGCTGAGAGCTAGCGGGGAAACAAAGGAGCTTCCCGCATCCCTGCCAGCGGTGCACGGTGGCAGCGAGGACAAGCGTTGCCGACGGGAGAGGCCGGCCAGCAGCTCTGCTCCCTGTCGGAGTTTTCTGCCAGCTCAGCCGCGTGAGGAGCACGTCTCACGCCCGGTCCTCCGGGATTCCTCGTTCTGCAAGCTGCGCCCTCCTTAGCTTCACTGGCTCGACGCTGTGTCGGACACTTCCCTACGGCAGGTGCAGGGAGATGCAAGGCTCTGTCCGAGGCGACCCGGCGGCCTGGGTCGGCAAGCTCACGGTCCACCGGGCAGGGTGTCGCCCACCGCAGAGCCAGGGGCTGTGGCAGAAGTGGGACACTGTGAGGACCGTGGCTTCCGTGTTGCCTGCTGGCTCCCTGGGCTGCAGACACACACACGGCACAGACACCCCTCCCTGGCCTTGCCCATCTCCGTCCCTGTGGGAGGGTCTGCCCGGCAGCTGGATGGACGTCCGAGGCGGCCACGCTCCCCTGGAGGGAGGCACGTGTTTCAAGGCAGAGGAGCGCGATTTTGCTATGCAACCAAAAGCACTTCAGTTTGCTCTAACGATAGAATCGCATAAAAATAAAGTGAGGACGTGGAAATCGGTGGTGAGGCGGGGCCACCTCACACAGCCCAAGGCCTCCCCAGCAGGAGCTGTGGTCCATCTGCACACCCGCCGTTCACAGCAACAGCACTGCCTCACCTGCTGCCCGCTGGCCGTGCACTTTGCTGAGTGGAACAAGACGGACACTTGGCCTGCACGGGGCTTATTTTTAGGAAGAAAAATGGCTGGCATGGAGATTGTAGTCTCTCCCCTCAGGAAAAGCCCAGGAGCTCCCTCTGTCATTTGCATTAATTTCACAGGAGCCAGCGTCTGTTGGGTTGTACAGGCGATCGCACGCTCAAGTGCGGAAGCCGAGCCCCGCCCTGCCTCGGGAGTGTGTGCAGCCCAGAAGCCCACATCACCGCGCATCTCCCCAGTGCCTGGCGGTGGGGAGACGAGGAGGAAGACACGGAAGACGGAGAAATCCGAAGATCAGAAAGGAAGTGGGGGGAAGTGTATTGGCAGGGAAGCCTGGTCGCTCCCCGGCTGGAGCCACGGGGAAGGGCGGTGCACTGGACACGTGCTTCCACCACGCCTGCCACAGGTGCCGCGGAACAGGCAAGGACGCCCTGGTGCACGGAGAAGTCCCTGGGGAACCCAGAGCTGAGGGGTGCGTGCGAGGAGGTGGCGAGCCCCATGTGTGGCTCCGACGTGCCAGCCTCTCCCAGGAGATGGTGAACTTCGCCACGCCCCTCCTGCACCGGTCAGCGTTCGCCACGCCCCTCCTGCACCGGTCAGCGTTTCGCGGTCATAACTCACGTGCCTGAGGGAGGCTCACGGGGAGGAGGGCTCTGAGGCTGGCGACGGCCGCGCTGTGGGAGGGAGGACGCCGTGGGAGCCGGGGCACGGGGGCGGGGAGCTCGCTGGTCGTGCGCGTCCGTGCGCTGTCTCCGCATAACGGCCCCCCGATTGCATCCCTGGAGCTCCTGCAGCAGCCCGGTTCTCGCCAATCGATTCCCAGCCCCACCGGCCGGTGCCACAGTTGGGTAAAGCTGGTGCTTAACCCGTGAACGAAAGACGGGGGGGACCGCGCCCCTAAGCCGCGGTCTCCGGGGCCGCCCGGGCCATTCCTCGTATGCATGAATTTCAAAGGACTTTTTGCACCCAAATAAGCTGACCCTCTCCTTCCATCTTCCACAAACGTGGACGCAGCCGTGTGCCGTCCGTCAGAGGTGAGTCTTCCCCAGCCGTGGTGGTGGCTGGCCCCGTGGCTCCCCTCTCCGTGGGTGCCCTTCCCACACAGCTGTCACCAGATGAGAACAAGAAAAACCAGGGGGAGCCGGATCCCTCAGCCACCCTGCTCCTCCTCGTGCTCGTGGGAGTGTGTGGGCATCCACACGGGGAGCAGAGGCTTGGGGACAACCGCCCTCTACTGGCGGTTTTGCTGCATAGCAGAGATAAAGCAGTGTTGTGCTCAGGGCTTCTCCTAATTAGAAGCTAAAGTGACCCCTTAGGGAGCAAAGTCCTTGGTGGCCACACGCCAGTTCTCTTTTTTGTTGTTTTAGATTTATTTATTTTGAAAGAGTTACAGTGACAGAGCAGGAGAGAGAGAGGTCTTCTGTCAGCTGGTTCACTCCCCAATGGCTGTAACGGCCAGTGCTAAGCCAGGCTGGAGCCAGGAGCTTCATCCAGGTCTCCCACGTGGGTGCAGGGACCCAAGCACTTGGGCCGTCTTCTACTGCTTACCCGGGCTCTTAGCATGGAGCTGGATCAGAAGAGGAGCAGCCGGGACGTGAACCAGTGCCCATATGGGATGCTGGCGCCACAGCGAGAGACCTAGCCTAAGATGCCACAGCCCCGGCCCTCACATGACAGTTCTGACAGTGCCCCAAGGATGGGCCTTCCCGGCTGGGGGTCCCCGTGTCGCCTGGCGCCTGCCCTCCCCACCTCCGCATGCCTGGCCCTGCCCAGTGGCCTCAGGGCAGTCCTGCCAGCCAGAGAGATGCCACAGAGGGCGAGGGGCCTGGGGCTGGGCCTCCCTGCCCCCACCCCCACACACACCTCTGCTCGCACCCAGAGCCTCTGCAGGGCTGCCTCTCCCGGCCAGGGCTGCTCTGGTCCCCTGCGGGTCTCGAGAGCCCATGGCTGCCCTCTGTTGGCCGCGGCGGGGCACTGCGTGTCCCTGAAACCCCAGCCACACCTCTTCTCTTAATTGCCCATTGGTGTGTGACATCTGATTTTTTTTCTGGGGCCTTCAACCAAGACGTCTACTCCTGGCTTCATTTTTGGTCACCTCCCCACTCCATGGCACCACCGTAAAGGGGGAGCTTCCGCGCTGAGAACCAGAGAGGTGTGTGGGGACAGTGGGCATGGCGGGCCCCTCCCTGGGGCTGCAGGGCGTTTGTGGCTCATCACAGGGCCGAGAGCAGCTCCTGTCGGCCCCGGGGACCCAGGGGACTCTAAATCCCGACAAGGACTTGGGGTGATGCACGTTGTCGTCCCAGCTTTTACAGCTGATGAAGCAAAGATGGAGGGGTCAGGGGGCCTCTGAGACCCCTGGAGGGCAGATGGTGGAGCCAGGGCCTGGCAGGGCCAGGCCGGCTCGGGGCTGGGCCTCTGTGGGAGCGGAGCCTCCGGTCGTGCAGGTCCAAGTGCCCGTAAGTGATGCAGGGTCAGAGCTGCCCGTGCCACTGGAGCTCCCTCCCGTCAACGGTGGCTGAAAGACAGCAAACCTCCCTGGGCGGGGCTCGTGCCCCGGGGGCCTGGACCAGAAACCGCTTCCATTCCCCTAAATGCTAAACGTCCTGTTAAAATCGGCATGCCGCACGTTTGCACATGTGTGTTTTAGTCATCATAAGATGTGTTCTGAAGTCAGGTCTCGGAGCTGGCGTCCGGCCCATGTCTCATACCCGAGTGCCCGGGCTTGCTGCCGGCTCCAGCCCCTGACTCCAGCTCCCTGCTGGGGCGGATGCTGGGCTCCTGCCACCCATGAGGGAGGTGGCTCCTGGACCCTGGCGTCCCCCAGCGCAGACCCAGCGCAGACCCAGACCTCGCAGACGTCTGGGGAGTGAACCAGCAGACGGGCGCTCTGTCTCTCCCTCCCCCTACTTCTCTCTGTCTCTGTCTCTGTCTCCCTGTACGTGTGTGTCTCTTCTTCCCCCTCCCTTCCCTCCCTGTGAAAAAAATAAAATTCAATAAGAAAATACCAGTAACATCTTAAGGTGAAGTGTCTAACAGCCGACTGTTCATAAATGCTTACCATCATAAATCCAGCTTCGCTTAAGACTTGCACTGAAAGAGCTTGTGGCATAAAATCAAGTCAATCATTTGTCGTCCCAGATTCATTAGTCACATAGTCCTCGTGTTTTACCTTATAGACCACATCTGAAATATCGATTTTAGTGGACGAGGCCTCACGTAACTCAGAGGTCCGGGAGTGGATGTGTGGACGTGGCAGGGTCTGCAGCCACCGGTCTCCCCGCCCACAGGAAGCCGAAGCCCCTCGGTTTTCCCTCTTCCTCCGGGGGTTGTTCCGCGCGTGCACAGGGAACTGCCTGCTTGCGTTCTTTCCCCACTTCAAACAGCGACAGCCCAGATGCACCTGCTGCGCCTGCCCGTCTCCACACCTGTGTCCTGCAGCTCCCCTGTGCAGTTCATTCTGCTTCCTGCTCTATTGTGTGGGTGACCAGACAGACATAAACCAGGAAGCCCTCGTCCGGGCCCACCGGGGACAGAGCTGCTGCTGTCTGCTGGTGGCTGCGTGAGCGTCCCCCGCACAGCCGTCCACGCCCGGGCCTGTGACACCTGCAAAGTAGCGTCTGAGGGTTACACCCCATTGCACTAAATGCAAATCAGCTGTTATGAGGAGAGGGCTGACCAAGAGCCCCCGGTGAGGATTCTGGTTGAGTGTGAGGCCGGAGGGACAGCGAGTCACCCGCTCCAGCCAGCCGGGGCCAAAGGTTAGCCACACTGCAGGCCCCAGGGACCCAGCGGGTGCCGCCGGGAAACGGGGCGACCTCTCAGGGCCACGTGCTGCGTCTCTTGCAGATCATCGACAAGAGCAAGAGGGACCCTTCGGAGGAGATCGAGATCCTCCTGAGATACGGCCAGCACCCGAACATCATCACCCTCAAGGACGTAAGTGTAGCCCGCCGCACCGCGCCATGCCGCGCCCGAGGCTGCCGGGCCGGCTCTGCCCGCGTCATTCACGCGCCTTGCTGGCTTCCCCAGGTCACGGGTGCAGGCGTGCGGGAGGAGGCAAGGGACGCCGTGTGGCCTGTAGTCCACGCGTGGTGTTTTCCCTGTCACCCCTAATCCCAGCGGGGACGCAGCTCCCCGGCCCTCTCTGCTGGGTGCCTGCCCGTCCTCTCCCGTGGGCCAGGGGAGGGGTGGAGCTCCCCCTCAAGGCCCAGGGGTGTGGCTGTGGGTGGAGGGGATGAGACAGGCGGATTTCTCCGCTTCCCCCTCACCTGCAAACCCCAGCAGGAGCCGTGAACGCAGAGCCCGAGCCCGGGGCGCCCTCCCTGCCTGGGGTCCCTGGGGGCGAGGGCTCCGGGACTCACTCCCCACGGGACCGTGTGAGCGGGTGGGGCCCCGCCACCCCCAAGCCGAGCACTCAGCCATTTCCTGGCTGACTCACAGACAAGAACCATCCAGCGTGAAGCCCTCTGTGCTTCAAACACGTGCGCTTGGGATCCGCGGCTCCCAGTCCATGAGCACACAATGCTCGTGCTCTCGAGGACAGAGCTTCGGAGTTCATGACCCGGACAGACAGACACCAAACTGGGACGGGCCGTGGAGCAGCGTTCCTGTCACACCGGCGCCCACGTCCCGAGTGGGAGGCGCTGGGTTTCAGGCCCAGCTCCAGTCTCCGTGCCAGCTTCCAGCTAACGCGATGGCTCCCATGGTTGGGCCCCTGCACCCGCGTGGGAGACCTGGGTGGAGTCCCCAGCTCCTGGCTTTGGCCTGGCCCAGCCCTGCCTGCTACAGGCATCTGGGGAGTGAACCAGTACACAGGATTTTCTCTGCGCCTCTGTGTGTGTGTGTGTCTGTGTGTGTGTGTCTCTCTGTGTGTGTGTGTCTGTGTGTGTGTGTCTCTGTGTGTGTGTCTCTCTGTGTGTGTGTGTCTGTCTCTCTGTCTCTGTGTGTGTGTGTCTCTGTGTGTGTGTGTCTGTCTCTCTCTGCCTCTGTGTGTGTGTGTCTGTGTGTATGTGTGCCTCTCTGTCTCTGTGTGTGTGTGTCTCTGTCTCTGTGTGTGTGTGTCTCTGTGTGTGTGTGCCTCTGTCTCTGTGTGTGTGTGTCTCTGTCTCTGTGTGTGTGTCTGTGTGTGTGTGTCTCTGTCTGTGTGTGTGTGTGTGTCTCTGTGTGTGTGTCTCTGTCTCTGTGTGTGTGTGTGCCTCTCTCTCTCTGTCTCTGTGTGTGTGTGTCTCTCTTTCTGTCTCTGTGTGTGTGTGTCTGTCTCTCTCATATACATATACATATATATATATACACTCGTATATGGATACACAAACACATATACATATACGTATATACTTTTCAAAGAAATAATTTTTCTAATATTTCAAGAAAACTCAAAAATAACTCTACATCTTTTAAGTTCAGAGTCCGACGGCCGGCGCCGCGGCTCACTAGGCTAATCCTCCACCTTGCGGCGCCGGAACTCCGGGCTCTAGTCCCGGTCGGGGCGCCGGATTCTGTCCCGGTTGCCCCTCTTCCAGGCCAGCTCTCTGCTGTGGCCAGGGAGTGCAGTGGAGGATGGCCCAAGTGCTTGGGCCCTGCACCCAATGGGAGACCAGGAGAAGTACCTGGCTCCTGCCATCAGATCAGCGTGGTGCTCCGGCCGCAGCGCGCCGGCCGCGACGGCCATTGGAGGGTGAACCAAAGGCAAAAGGAAGACCTTTCTCTCTGTCTCTCTCTCTCTCACTGTCCACTCTGCCTGTCAAAAAAAAAAAAAAAAAGTCATGTTAGTAATGCTCTCTGAAAGCCCTCAGACGAAGCGATGCTGGTGTTTAGGCCCCGCCTCCCTTTTGCACAAGTCTGTCCCAGCACGCGGAGTGCCCGTGGGCTGCAGTGTAGACAGCGATCAGCGTGCACATGGTCTACACTCACAGCTCAGCATGAAAGTCACCGCAGTGTGTGGTCCTGTTCTTTAGTGAGTTTGTGACGTTCGAGCCAGTGTGGACAAAGCTGCATTTTTCTAAGAGCCCTGCTCTGATGCGTAGCTCAGCTCTGGGCGCTGTGTCCTGACAACTGGGACAACTGGGACAACTGGCGCTGAGGTGCTGCCCAAAGCAGCCACACGTGTCCCCGAGGCCCACCAGGCCCACCAGACTGGGCCATCCTCCAGGTCTTCGAAGCCAAGACGTGCTTCTCAACAGGACACACCCCGGCAACTCAGCACATCACCCCTGCCCCCAGGACTCTGCACATCACCCCTGCCCCCAGGACTCTGCACATCACCCCTGCCCCTAGGAGTCTGCACATCACCCCCAGGGCTCTGCACATCACCCCTGCCCCCAGGACTCTGCACATCACCCCTGCCCCCAGGACTCTGCACATCACCCCCTGCCCCCAGGACTCTGCACATCACCCCTGCCCTCTGCACATCACCCCTGCCCCCAGGACTCTGCACATCTCCCCTGCCCCCAGGACTCTGCACATCACCCCTGCCCCCAGGACTCTGCACATCACCCCTGCCCCCAAGACTCTGCACATCACCCCCTGCCCCCAGGACTCTGCACATCACCCCTGCCCCCAGGACTCTGCACATCACCCCTGCCCCCAGGGCTCTTCACATCACCCCGGCCCCCAGGAGTCTGCACATCACCCCTGCCCCCAGGACTCTGCACATCACCCCAAGACTGCACATCACCCCTAGGACTCTGCACATCACCCCTGCCCCCAGGACTCTGCACACCACCCCCAGGGCTCTGCACATCACCCCTGCCCCCAGGACTCTGCACATCACCCCTGCCCCCAGGACTCTGCACATCACCCCCTGCCCCCAGGACTCTGCACATCACCCCTGCCCCCAGGACTCTGCACATCACCCCTGCCCCCAAGACTCTGCACATCACCCCCAGGACTCTGCACATCACCTCCTACCCCCAGGACTCTGCACATCACCCCAAGACTCTGCACATCACCCCTAGGACTCTGCACATCACCCCCTACCCCCAGGACTCTGCACATCACCCCCAGGACTCTGCACATCACCTCCTACCCCCAGGATTCTGCACATCACCCCCAGACTCTGCACACCACCCCCACTCGGGACTCTGCACACCACCCCCTACCCCCAGGACTCTGCACATCACCCCCTACCCCCAGGACTCTGCACATCACCCCCAGACTGTGCACACATCACCCCAGGACTCTGCTGCGTTGCCGTCTGCAGAGTGCTGCCCCTGGGCTCTGCGTGATCAGTGCTGTCCGGGCAGTCGTGTTTCTCAGTCTTCACGTCTCCCTGCAGAGGCTCGGTGGCCTCGTGAGATGGTGCACTTCCTCCTAACCCAATGCGGGCCTGGCCTGCCGGTCCCCCTCGGCCCCCGACTGTGACTGCCCCAGGAGACCCCTCGGGCACGGCTGGGGCCTGGCCTGCTGGTTCCCCTCGGCTCCCGACTGTGCCGGCCCCAGGAGGCCCCTCGGGCACGGCTGGGGCCTGGCCTGCCGGTCCCCCTCGGCCCCTGACTGTGCCGGCCCCAGGAGGCCCCTCAGGCACGGCTGGGGCCTGGCCCGCTGGTCACCCTCGGCTCCCGACTGTGACCGCCCCAGGAGGCCCCTCGGGCACGGCTGGGGCCCAGGCGCTCCTTTTCTGCACAGGTCTTGCCTGGCTCCCCGGGTCGCAGACCCCGGTCTGTCCCCCTGACTCCTCCCGTCCGCAGCGTCCGGAGCTGGGCTCTTTCTCAGGCACCATCCGGCCCAGGCGGTGGTGACGCGGCAGCCTGAGGTCCGCGTGCCCCTTCTCGGCCCCAGGTCTACGACGACGGCAAGTTCGTGTACCTGGTGACGGAGCTGATGCGTGGCGGGGAGCTGCTGGACCGCATCCTGCGGCAGAGGTGCTTCTCGGAGCGCGAGGCCAGCGGCGTGCTGTGCACCATCACCAAGACCATGGACTACCTGCACTCGCAGGGGGTGAGGCCCGGCCGCGGGCGGGCGGGCGGGCGGTCGGGCTCTCCTTCCCTCCCGCCACGCCTGCGTTCATAGATGTGTCTCCCTGAAGCTGTACGCACCTATCTGGTACTCCAGTAACGCCTGTAGAGGGACTGCTACTCTTGTTGTCGATGGATGAATTATCACGATTCTTCCGCAGGCCCTCATGTCCTCGAGTTGATACCCAGTTAGCGACTCTTTTCCGTTGATGATCTCGGGAGTTACATTATGTGTGGCCAGGCTGTGAGCTCCAGATTGGAAGTTGCAGCTTTGAGTTCGGACTATCATTGTTTTAACATACGGAAATAAATAGATCCCGTGGCCAGCGCTATGGGGAAAAGTTGAGTTCTTTTTGCGCTCGATCGTGACGCGAAGCATGCAGGCCGTTGTATCGTTATTGGTTCGAACAGGGGCGGTCTTACAGAAGAAGCAACGTCCAGTCACCTAGACAGGAAACGAGAGACTGCA